TGGCCCCTGCCCTGTGCCCTTGGGCTCTGCCTGTGTCCCCCCTCCACTCTGTCCCCTTCCTCTGTGTGCTGCTCCTAGGGAGACCCTTCCCTAAGCCCCCACCCTGTGCCGTGGCAGCCCTGTGCCCTGCCCGTGGGGTCCCTCCTTATGCCCTGCACCTCTGCAGCACCCCAGCCCCATGTCCCTCCTCCTGAGGGACCCTGTTGTCACCCCCAGGCTCAGACGCAGCCCTGGGGAATATCCCTGTGTGCTGCCCTCAGCCCTTCCCTGCACCCCCTGCCAGCGCTTTCCTCCTCCTCCTCCATTACACCCCCCTCCTGGGGCTCCCTCCGCTACCCTGACCTGCACCACAGCCCACGCCTGTCCCTCGGGGACCTTTGCTGCTCTGTGCCCCAGTCACACCAAGAGGACATCTCCCCCCTCTCTGCCTGACGCAGTTCTGTCTCCTCTGAGCGCCCCAAGGCTGCAGCCTGTTACGGTGCCCTGCCTGCTCCCTCGAGCTCTTACAGCTTTGGGACCGTTCTTTGTGCTCTCCTGTCCCTGTTCCCCTCCCAGGCTCTGTGGGGACAGCCCTAGAAGCACCAGTGCCTGTAGCCTGGGCTGACACCCCCGTCTTCCCCTGGGGTCCCTCGGCAGCATCACAGGGCTCTCAAGGGTCACCTTCTGCCACAGCCGATGACTGTGATGGTGACATCTCCAAAATGTTCCCTCCCTTCCTGTGCTCCCTTGGCTGCTTGTCAGACCCAGCTCTGCCAATGTGCAGTCAAGATGTGGAAAAACACCCCAACCCTGTCCTCGATGCCCCTGCACCCCCTCCAGCCTGCCACAGCCAGAGCCAGCTCACCCCAAACTCCCCCTTCCCCAGATTTGTGTGCCGGGACTTCTCTATGCTCCTTGGGGAGCTCAGTCTTCACATGCCCCACCCCAGCTGAGCCCCCCAGTGCAGGCAACCTCCAATCCTTACACCAGGCACAGGCATCGCGCAAGGCTGCCGAGACCCATCCTCGGAGCAAACCTCTGGCTCTCGGACTGCCCCTGCCCTGCCTGGCCCCTCTGCGCTCCTGGGGGGGACATGTCTGGACCTGGCTCTCCCCCATGCAGACCCGATCCTGCTCTCCCTTCACGCTCTGCACGCAGCCACCCAAGGCACCCCTGCCAGAAGGGTAGTGTCCTAATTTCCGTGTAGTCTGGGTGCTTCCTTTATGTGCCCTCGCAGACTCCCCGGGAGCGGAGCCAACCCTTCTTTGAGTGCGTGTCCAGCAAGTCAAGCCCTCCCTGGCAGGTACAGGGTTTTCCTGCCCCGCCTTGTACTCCCTGGGAAAAGATGGCATGGGGATAGCTCTGGGGTAGCTGTAGGTGCCCACCATCTCTAGGTGGGGGGAGAGCTTCCCTGACTTTCCTGCCATGGGGAGGGCTTTGCCTGCCCTGGTCCCGCTGCAGCCCTTCGAAGAGGGGAGCAGAGCTGGGCCTCTCCATCCCAAGGCCAGAGAGCAGCAGTTTCACTTCCCAAACCAGGGTGCGTTCTCCCCTCCATCTGCCTTCCTCCGGGCTGTGTTATCTGCTGGCCAAAGGCTCGGGCAGAGGCTGCGTTCACTGCCTTCCCAAGCTTTGGGTCTGAAATGGCACCGATAAATATTTTCAAAACAAAAGCCAGAGCTAGATGAGGCTCCCAGGTCTGCTTGCCCTCCTTCCCTGCGAGCTGTGTGCGTGGAGCTGCCGTGCTGTCACTCCAGCCGAGGTAGCCGGCACGTAGCTGTGCTGCCGTGCCATTCTGCACGACCGCAGCTGGGCTATTTACGGGCCTGCACAGATGCTGTGCCAACGCGCCGGGGCTCAGGGCACAGGGGGGGATTAATCGGGAGCACAACTGTCAGGATACCAGGCACTGCTGGGTCTCAGCTACGGTGCCGAGCCTGCACCTTCATCATTTTAATGAGATGGGAATAATAAACTTACGGGCAGAGTGCGAAGAGGAAGGTGGAAGCCCGGCACCGAGCCTGGAGGAGAGGCGCGTGCTTGAGCGCTGTGCCCCGATACGTGCGCACCGCCAGGGCTTGTGCGGGGCCACGTGCCCCTCTTGTTGTTCCTGACCCATAGCAGTGATAGAGCTGCCTTGTTAAGTGAACAGGTACAGGGTGTCGCTTCCTAGCGTGTCACCCACGGGGCCACCGACTCGCTGCTGGTGCTTGGCCACACTCGCAGGCTGCCCTGGCGTCACCCACGCTCCTCGCAGTCAGTCCAAGCACCCAGGCTTCGCCCTGCTGGCTCTCGTCCCTCTGGCACAGCCTCTTTGCACAGAGGGAGTCAGAGGTTACACACGGCAGGGGGATGCTGGTTCTGCTGTCATTAGACTATTTTTTTTTCTTTTTTTCCCCCTGTGATGCTAAGCAAGTTAGTGAGCTGTTAATGAGCTCCCAGGATAGGTCATGGGGGGGGCTGGTGCAGGGACACAGAGGTTAGCGTGTGCCATCCTGCATTTGGGCAGGGAGTGCGCCGGGGATGCTGGCTTTGATGGAGAACAGGTCTGGCCTGTCGCCTGCATCTCTCTAGCTCTCAGTTGCTTGACTTCAGTTTGCTAACGTCTCATCTTTAGGAAGCGGCTTGCCAGCTCTTTATGTTTAAAGCTGTTTGTTTGGAAGGCAGGAAGATGATTTAACAACTCAAACACTTTCAGATTATAGAAAGAAAATGAGGAAATGTTACTCTTGGCTTAAGCATCTCCTAGCAGCGCTCCACCCAAAGCGAAGTGCATGGTGCTTGCAGCTACTGCTGGGTCAGTGGCATCCTCCCTGCGCTCGCTGAGGTTCGGGGGCCAAGTTTTAAATCAGAGCCTTCATTATGCTAAAGGCAAACCTTGGCTCGTCGGAGCCAGCTGGTCCCTGCTGCTGGCGAGCCGGCGTTTGAGCCGCTTCCCTACGGGAAGGGGCTGTCGGCAGCGCTGCCGTGTGAACGCTCTCACCCTCCCACCTGCGTGCCCTGGCCTGGTGCTCCGGGCCGTGTGTGACGGGCGTGGGGCTCTGCCCTGCTCTCCATCGTGGTGTGGATCCTGGCTGAGAAGAGCCAAACCCTGCTGCTCCCCGTGCTGGGGCTCTGTGGATGCTGAGGGGAGCAGGAAAGCAAAGCCCTGTGCCCCGCTGCATCGTCGCTGGGGTTTAGCGAACCCGAGGTGGTGGCAGGGCTGTGAGCTGGGGCTGGCCTGGCTGTGCAAAGGTCTCTGCTCCGGGATGAGCGGCCTCTGCTCAGCGGCCGTGCTGTCACGTGCGTCTCGCCAAAGGGTGGCTTGCACTGGAGAAGCTGCTTTTCCTGGTCAGCGTTTTGGTCTCCAGAGCCAAGCTGTCCTGTGCTGCTCCCTGTTGGCCCTTGGGCTCGTGTGCTGAGCCCCCCCCTCCAGTACTTTGGGGTCCCATTTGACCCCTCAAAGTGCACCCAGTGCCCTGTATCTTCAGCCTGTTCACGGTCCCTCCCATCCCCCAGACCTAACCTTCATCTTCTGCTGAGGGCAGGGAGGTGCAGCCAAATCCTTCTGTTGTGCAGACTTTCATTTCCATAGCAGTAGCCATGGATACCGACTGTTTGTGCAAATAACCGATATTCCCACCCACACCGATCACTGACCATTGCAGGGATGGGCGCCGGGCCGCCCGGGGCTTGGTGTCCCTGGTACTCCTTGGCTTTACCTGCTGCTGGAAGTTTGCTTTCCCAGATGCTCTCTAGGGCTTTGCTAAAACAAACCCCAACTTTGTCAAATGGGTGGAGTTATTTAACTGCTCTCAAAACACTTGGATTCGTCTATGTGACTTGTTAACTGTGGCAGAGGCGAGTGGTGTCCTCCAGCTTCTCCCTTAATGGTGCTTGAGGGTAAAAAAACCTAGTTCCTAGAGTGAAACGATGGCCTGGTGGTGTGTGCAGGCTCTGTCTGTCACCTGGGTGCTGCTCTGTGCGGGTAATGTGGGGTCTGGCAGCGGGATTTGCATCCTGGCATCAGCTAACGGGACTGGGTCTGCCGCTGGCCCCGTTAGCCGACGCGATGCTGTCGCGTTTCTCCACGTGTCTAGTTTACGTGCAAGAGAGTGGTTTGCCGTGGCAGGGGGGTTGTGGAGTAAAACCCAGATGCAGCGAATTGGACCTGAGACGCTCTGAGCTTGAGGAGCTCAGTGAGATGCCCGGTGAAGGAAGAAGCTGTTTGGGGCATAATATTGAGTAGCAGCACAAACGAGCAAGGCACCAGTTGTATTTATAAGCGTGGCTGGGATTGCACTTAAACGTTGTTTGCTACTCAGGCCTCCAGTTTCCTCTCTTTAAAGACTCGTTGGCACTTAATGAAGGCTGTATGAAGTGGCAGAGCTCCCCTAGCACAAGCATGATGCTTAAATGCACAAATTTAGCCTGAGAAGAGCCAGCGTGCTGCAGGGCTTTGACCCTGGTGTGACTGCTCCTAGTGAGGCTGTACTGGCACGGCGTTAAGGTGTGACCCCCCACTTGCAGTTACACTAGGAAAGCACAAGGTATAAACCAGCCTTTGCCCCTGCAGCAGAGCTCAGGAGGGAGCTGGCATTCATAACGAACGGATTTGACTCGCTGCTAATTGTGCTTTTAGTCTCTGCTGCTTTGGCTGTCAGAGCCTGGGGAGAACTGCCTGATGGTAGCGCAGGAAAATAACCCTCTGCTTCCAAGTTCCCTGCGAGCACCTGAGAAGACACGTGCTCGGTCTCACTCACACGCCTGCGCTTTGCTGGGAACAGGTCCCTGAGTGGGCTCCCAGACATGGGGCTCAGATAAACGTGGTCCTGGTGCGTGGCACTCAACGGGATCCTAAAGCACTTGAAGCCACAGCAGTGCCAGCATCGCTGCTGGTACCCTGCGCTGCGATAGGTCCCAGTCATGTTCCTAAGACCTTTACTATCCGCATAAACCAGACCTGTTCCTTGCCTGCACTGAGTTAGTGTGGACGTTTTGTAATGTGCCTGGAAAACCCACTCTTGCTTTTGTCCCTTTTGGTTAGGTGAGAGGATCCTGGGCTATGCGGAGGAGCCTTGCTACCTGTGGTTCGTCATGGAGTTCTGTGAAGGGGGCGACCTCAACCAGTACGTGCTCTCACGAAGACCTGACCCAGCGACGAACAAGAGCTTCATGCTGCAGCTGACCAGCGCCATTGCCTTCCTGCACAAGAACCATATAGTCCACCGGGACCTGAAACCAGACAACATCCTGATAACCGAGAAGTCTGGCACCCCTGTTCTCAAGGTGGCTGACTTCGGGCTGAGCAAGGTCTGCGCTGGCCTGACTGCTCGGGGCAAGGAGGGTGGGCATGAGAACAAAAATGTGAATGTGAACAAGTACTGGCTGTCTTCGGCTTGCGGCTCCGATTTCTACATGGCGCCCGAGGTCTGGGAGGGGCACTACACTGCCAAGGCTGACATCTTTGCCCTTGGCATCATCATCTGGGCCATGATTGAGAGGATAACTTTCATCGATGCGGAGACCAAGAAGGAGCTGCTGGGGACCTACATCAAGCAGGGGACTGAGATTGTGCCCGTTGGGGAAGCGCTGCTAGAAAACCCAAAGATGGAGCTGCACATCCCTCAGAAACGCAGGACTTCCATGTCTGAGGGCATCAAGCAGCTCTTGAAAGACATGTTGGCTGCTAACCCACAGGATCGACCTGATGCCTTTGAGCTTGAAACCAGAATGGACCAGGTTACATGTGCTGCTTAAATTCAGGGCAGGGCACCGCTGTGCTTTGCAGCTGGGTAAGTGATCGGCAGTTTTTGTATTATTCTGTCTGCTGTACCAGCCCGATAATGTACTTTGTAGTGACACAAAGGAGTCTTTTATGTTCCCGGAGCTATTTCTACAGTGACTCATCAGAGCACTGCTTCTTAGGGTTTTTTCCACCTATTTTACTGCAAAAATAAAGTAGAGGTGGGAAACAGAATTAGCAGCTGCACGTCCTGCCGCTGCCCGGGGAAGCTGGCAGGGCCGGAGCCCTGCTCCTCAGAGGCCCTGGCGGGTGGCTGAGACAGGCTGGCGCACGGCAGAGGGAACCACGAGCACCCTCTGACATCAGTTTTGGATACCTCCAGCTCTCCCAGGGTTGGGGAAGGAGCTGCCAAGTTCTGCCTCCTCTGCTGCATGGTATAATTTCTGTGGTCAGGTCTGAGAGCACCTCGCTGTCCAGCAGCGTCCCCTTCCCCTCCGAGACTCGGCCAGGGCAGCTCAGGGCTCGGTGAGCCGGTGCTGAGTGGAGAGGCAGGGTTGTCTCAGTGCAGACAAAGCTGTTCCTTTGCTTTCACCTACGAGGCATGTGGGTCCATCTCGTTTTGTTTCCTTGCCTTCCCTTTGGTGCAAGCTGCAGTTGCCCAAACCCAGTGAGATGCATTGGTCCCCAGCCTCTGAGTTTGTAGACCTGTGTGTGCTCAGGAAGGAAGCTTACAGAACGGTTGTGCTCACGCTGAGTTCAGCTCCGTTCAAGCAGAGTCCCCTCCCTTCTCCCCCAGCTTGGTTCCTAAATAGTCCCAAGCTCAGAGGTCCTGGTCTTGGGGCCTGGGTGGTCACACATGGTCTGGAAGGACCCCCAGGGGTATGGGGTAGCTGGCAGCATCACTAACCAGTGACACCGAAGGACTGGGAGGTGTTGCCTGCATGGCAAAGCTGTCTGTGAACAAGAGCTGTTACTGGGGTTTCTCCTGGCCAAACACTTCAATGAAACAGAGAAATTACAGATTACGAGGGGCAAGGCTGATGTCTTCCCAGCCCAGGTCTTTCTCCAGCTCCTGCAGAGCTGCCTGAGCATTGCTGGGGACAGGGACCTCTGAACGCCTGCCTGTGTCAGGTGCTGGCACTGCAGCTTGGGCTCCTCGCCCTGAAGCCACGCAGACCCCGCTGGACCAGCACGGACCACAGATACGGGAGAGCAGAGAGGGATGAAATGGCTGGCGGAGCCCGCAAACCACCGGCCCTCAG